ACTGTAGCACACTTAAAGAGTCAGAGGAGTGCACAGTCTTATAGCACCGGCGTGCGCAGTAGCACGGTACTGTAGCATGGTACTGTAGCACACTTAAAGAGTCAGAGGAGTGCACGGTCTTGTAGCACGGGCGTGCGCAGTAAAATGGGCACTGTAGCAGCGGGCTTTTCTCACCTTAAAGAGTCAGTAGAGTGCACGGTCTGGGGCGTGCTAGTTGGCACAGCCGTGCAACTGTAGCACACCAACTTCACATGCCACTAACGACATAAGAAGCCTAGGAATGCCTTCAAGTTCCTCACAACACTTGTTAAATGTCTCATCATGATGCTCTTGTGTGATTTGGACTTGAATATAAGAACATGTGCTCTTGTGTGATTTGGACTTGAATATAAGAACATGGCTTCCCCATATCTCTTTGCATGACTTCTTGTAATCCCCTTTTAGGAAGCACCAATGAATCTCCCATGTTATTCTCCATATTCCCTTGAGCTCCTTGGTTGATTGATGGCGGATCCGTATCATTCCTGGAAAAGCTAAACAAAAGAAATGCGAGTTTATTAATGAATAGTAATTATTGCATAACACAAGCATTCACATGAAATGCTTCCTAAAGTACTAAAATGAACACACAGTCGGTCAAGCATATGGTTCAGCATTATGGCACAACATCAACATCCACAAGTAATTACCCTTCAGGTAATCACACAAGTGGAAATTTGGTCAGTGGCAATCACCGAAACCCCCATCACCGAAACCCCCGATGAGCCGTCCTCACACATGGCTCATCCTCTCATGACATGTGCACCAGGGAGCCGATTCCCCATACATAGCCGAATAGTCTAATCCTCACTTGATCAGCCCTCTCATTTTTTTTATACTCTCTTTTCTTTCCATACCAACAGGAGGCCACCCTGTGATTTTCCATATAATCCATATTATCAAATGCACACGGGGCCACCGATCTCTCCATACATGGCCGATGGTATCGAAGATCGCCCTCACAAACCCATGGTGACCCACTTCATCCAATTCCATGCAAACAAGGCAAATAAATGTCACAACACAAATAATCAAACAATGCAATTAAATGCAAGCATAATAAATAATTAAAAATTTTCATGCAAGAGCGCAAATAGACATTCATATACTAATTCAAATAAATATATAAATAATATTAATAATAATAAATAATTAATTAAAGACAAAGCTATTAATAATAATAAATAATTAATTAAAGACAAAGCTCTGTATAGAAATGATTTTATGTATGATGCAAATGGTAAATACTATTTATTATTACCTACATTGCTAGATGGGAAAAACACTCTAATTTTTTGTCCTAACCTATTAAAGCAGTGAACAAACTAGAGCGATCTAAATGAAATGACATTCGAAGGAGAGGAGAGAATTGAATCGAATAAAGTACTCTATTTTAAATATATCGAGTTAAAGAATTATTCTAAATAAACTTATTAACCTAATCATTAAATATAACTAGCGTAGATTTTATCAAAATTTCGGTAGAACCTCACTTTAAAATAGGACTTTCTACCTGTTAAGATAATGTCAAGTACTCTCTATGTATTCATTCAATCCACACAACCTATTCATCAGGCAATAAATCAAATCAAATGCCCATCCTTTTTTACACGACAATACCAACAATTAACGATTATCTTTTGTTACTCTTGCTCAACAAACTCACTTTCAAAAAGTTTAAACTCAATATTAAAAGCCATAGTTCAAGAGATTAACAAAATACATGTTGCAATTATAAAATAATTCTCACTTTATTCCATCTTAATCATTAGAACTCTAATATTTACAACAAATTATGAAACACTTGTTTTTACCTCCAATATAGACTTAGTTCATATCATCTTAAAGAAAAGTAAAATACACTCATACTTGGTCTTGATTAGTCCAAATTTATAAAAAACAGTCCCGTAGTAGCTGCCATTTCTTAGAAATCCTAAATTCTAGCTTAAACTTTCTTAGAAATCCTAAATTCTAGCTTAAACTTATAGCCCACAGTCTAACAAATTTATTAATCAACAAGGAATTCATAAAATATACTGAGATTGGTTGGAAATTAATTACCTAGCTACACTATGCGTCGAAAATTAAATAATTTTGCGTCGAAAATTAAATAATTTATTCATAATAATTATTCTAATGACTTGTATTCTAAATTTTTAGAATTAAGTGTATTTATCTATCGAGGTTCCCTAACAAGAATCGTATTCGATTAATTATTTAATCCCGATCAACTTATATTTTAAATTTGGAGTTTATACCAAAGATGAGAAACTAAGTCTTAGAGCGTACCAATCAAAAATCGGACTATGATTCCACGATCCGCGTGAGGAGAAGATGATTTTGCCTCTTCGGGATTTGCCAGAGACTCGCCGGCCGGTCATCGAACCTCCACTGGCGCTACCGTGTACGGTGGTCGGATAACTAATCTGTGACATCCCAACCCGGTAAAGCGATCCTAAGAGGGAGGGTAGAGCGAAGCTCCTGGCTAGCTTCTAGGATGGCAGGCTAGCTAGGACAGTGGAACGCGGGACACAGAAATGAATCGAATCATATATCGAAAATGGGGACACTAATCATTAGAGGCGCCTTTTGGTGGAATGGCTGGAGAGTTGGAAGTTGGAAGAACTCCAGGGTTGAGCGTGCTCGCTTAACAGAAATCCTAGGATGGTTGATCTCCTGGGAAGTTTCTCATTTCATCTACGGGATAAAACCGTGTGGATCCTGCCAATCTTGTATGGGGGATTTGGCTTGATCCAAAACGGACAATTCCTCTGGTGATTAGAGTCGGGCGTGACACGATCTATGTCAAATTTTCACAAGGTTTACACCAAAACACTTAAAATCTTACAAGGAGCTCAAAGCCATCGTCTACAAGTTTGGTGAGCCAGTTGATCGAAATTAAGCTCAATAGCCGCTGCATCACCCTTTAATGGCGCTTCCACCATACAAGCTCCATCATCGAATTCAATGGAGGGGAAATGTTCGCACGAGTGAGTTGAATCGATCGTTGCATGTCCTTCGCCTAAAACTGTTAGAAACGGCGTGGATCGCCAAAAAAAGGAATTAGTAGGGTGCAACACTTTCGAGCGCAATTTCTCTTGCTTCAGGCATTTTCTGCGTGAATGGAGACCATGGATGGGTTCCTCTCGTCGAGCACTTGAAGTTTCAGTGCTTGGCTGCCGGATTCCAAGGCTGGTGGTCAGAAAATGGAGGGTGTATGGGGGAGGGGGCTATCGTGCGATAAGGAGAGAAGAACGAGAGAGAGGAGAGAAAATGGGACCCAAAAATAATTTTGCCATATACTAGGGACTTCTGGAGTGATTTGGGTTCAATTTAAGTTCGGTTTGGTCCAAACCATGGGTTTTGGTTTGATTTTCAACTAATTTACATGTTTTTGGACCGAGGTTGATGGTTTAAATTTAGTTTTCGGGTTTGATTCGCAGCATAAAAAATTATTTTCCGTTAGATTTCATTGGTTGAAATTTACAATTAAATTTTTAAATGAATAATTTTAAAAAAAAATTTTCCGGGTCATTTCAGTAATAAGATAAAGTCACTTTTAAAATAGACATGTTCAATCTCCCAAATATTAATTTTATTTTAAATAAATAAATGATAACAATCTATGATGTACTACTGTAGAAAGAGTAAATTATACTAAATCAATAAACACTGAATAAATCAAATTTTCATATGAATAAAATCGAATCAAATTTATCTACCTTACTAAACTAATTTGAACTGAACTAAGCTGTATCAGTTTGGTTCAAATTTTATTTTGAGCTGAATTTTTTTTTTTTTTACATTTTTTATTCATTAAGAGGATCAATATTGAAATAACATTGGTGGCTATATGATAGGAGTTGTCCTCCCCTTAACATTTACGGTTTTTTTTTTTTTTTTTTTTATCAATATTGAAAACATTGGTGCTATATGATAGGAGTTTGTCCTCCCCTTAACATTTTACGGTTTTTTTTTTTTTTTGATTTTTAAGCGGTTTTTTTTTTTTTTTTTTGTATTTTTAAGCTTATGATTTTACTAAACTAAACCAAATAAATGTAAGTTTGTTCTACTAAAATCAAAATTGAATCATAAATTGAGCCCAATAAAAAGGCTGAGTGCATAAATATATCCATGTACTTCATAAAAAAGAAAAAAATTGTGGCATCCCAAACTTTGGAATGACCTATTATTCTTCCCCTAAAGTTACGAATTTGCGAGCATTACATCCCTCTATATACTAGGAATAACGGAGAAATGCATAAATTAACCCATGTACTTTACACAAAAAAATCTTGTGACACCATTAACTTTTATTTTGATCTAATAAACTCTTAACTTATAAAATTGTATCTATTAAGTATTTCAACTTGCAAAATTTTTTCTATTAAATACTCTAACTTTAAAATTTAGATTAATTAAACACTTATTAAATTTGTTGAAAAATCTGAAACTATTGTTCTAAAAGGTGCACTAACCACACATCAAATAAATATTTTGCACATGAAACCTAAATATATTAAAAAAAAAACTATTATTTTTAGTATGAAGAAGTATGCAATGTCATCAAATATATCACTTTAAATGCATAATAGGTTCCTCGTAAAGTTAAGAGTCACAAGATTTTTATATAAAGTACATGGGTGGATTTATGCATTTTGCCTAGCAATAACATTCTTTTAGTAGTTTTGACATTTATGTGCAAGATATATATTAACTCAATGTGTAATCTTTGGAACAATAATTTTCACATTTTTTTAACTATTTAATTAAAGTTTAATCGATCTAATTTAGAATTTTGAGTGTTGGATATAATAATTTCTATAAGTTGAAATATTTAATTGGTATAATTTTATAAATTCAAGTATTTAATACGTAAAAATAAAAGTTGAGTGTGCATAGGGAGGATTTTACTATTCTAGTCCTAACCCTAGAAAAGGCTCCGTGTTCACTTTTTGCAAAAACATAAACGTGTACTTCAGACATAGAGGAAAGCATATTTATAATCTTTCTAGTTTAATTAACTTCAGTTCATGACATAGAGAAAGAGCGACGGGGAAAGATAGCAAGGGAGATGAACAAACAAGATCCCCTGCCTTCATCGTCTTCCCACCGGGAAATTTCTCCAGCACCGGAAAATGTGCGTGCCAAGAGCATCGGTTGCATGTCTGGAATTTTTCGCTTCGTTTGCAAATATCATAATCGCCGAAGATTCATCACTTCCGGTTTGTTCCTTTTTTTGTTTTCATTTTTTAATTTAATCAAAAACTATTTTTCCTTTCTCTGCTAACATAAGATATTTTCCAGGAAAGAAGCAAGAAAAGAACGTCGGCTCTCCTCCACCACAAGAAAGTAGCACTGATCTCCCGAAATCGTCAGGCGACGTGGTTCCGAAAAGTCCAACGTTGCCGGTAGAGATGAGAATCTCAGCCGACAACTACCGTTCTCCGCCAGCGCTGATAGCAAGGTTGATGGGACTGAGTGAAATTCCAACGGCAGAAACAGCGGTGGAGGAGAAACGGCGGAGACTGTTAGGAGCGTTGGAGAAATGCGACCAGGATCTAAAGAGTTTAAAGAAGATGATTGAGGTGGTGAAGAGCGTGAGTGGCAACACTACAAACGGCAATAGTAAGATTGAGAAACTGTATTACCATATGACAACAAGAAAAGAAAAATGGAATCAGTTGGAAGCCATATCCATGAGTATGAGAAGTACTCTTTCAATGGTGGACGACTTCACTTCTTTCTGCAGTTACTCAAAACGTCACAACAACTGCACTGCAAATGGTTAGTATTGTCGTTTCATTCAATTTTTTTTTTTAATTAATTGCTTTTGTCTTTTGTTTTGAGCGTATCTATCTATTACAGATGCATGCATAGAAAGATAAGCCCAATTGCAAGAAAACACAGACAAATCTTTAGTATAAAACTACAAAGGCAATTTAATGCTAGTTTTGTTTGGTTTATGACTATTTTTTCTTTTTTCTTTTTTCTTTTTTGGTGATAAAATGAATTAGATTGTCTGTTAATTCCTTCGTCCTGAAGCCTGACTGGATTTTTTTCATAAAGCTGAAATGCTTTGTCTTTTTCTCATGTGTAACGGTTTTCAGGTTAGAGACATAGAACCAGGCATCTAACCCATTAGTTTCTTTTCAACTACAAACCTTAAGCCTCTTCTCTAGAAGAAAAAAAAAAAAAAAAAAAAAAAACAAACCTTAACCCATTCTCTAGAAGAAAAAAAAAAAAAAAAAAAAAGAAAAAAAAAAGAAAGAAAGAAGAAAGAAAGAAAAAGAAATATAGAGTGGTTTGGTCCAGGTGTAGGTCCATAAAGCCACTACACAAATTAATGGGATCAAAATAAGCAAAAACAAGAACATAATAGTTGTTAACCACAAATAAAAAAAAAAAAAAAAAAAGAAAAAAAGAAAGAAAGAAAGAAAGAAAGAAAAAGAAATATAGAGGTGGTTTGGTCCATGTGTAGGTCCATAAGCACTACACATAATTAATGGGGATTCAAAATAAGCAAAAACAAGAAATATATAGGTGGTTTGGAACCACAATGTAGAATTTTAGTTACAGAATTTAAATATTTCATGCATTTTTTTATAAGGAGAATTTTTCATTTAAGAATTAAACAGAAAATGAAGATATGTTAAAAATACTCACTAGTTACTACAGCCAAACCATTAGCTTTTCCCCAATATACTCTATCCTATCCTAAAAAAGTTAAATAAAAATATGAACCCACACCCAATATAGATTAACTTAAAATACAGAAACAAACAGTAGCAACACTCCCTTTTCATCCATCGAAGGACAAATAAAAACCGTAAGTATATCATATACAAAAAATAAATCTAAAAAATAAGTGTAAGAAACTTAATAGATTCTATCATATAGTCTCAAATTAATAATTTTGAATTAGAAAGAAATCTCACATTTGACATGAAATTTCTCAATTCCATTATCTTTTACTAACGTCAAAAAATAAACTAACTTTATTTTAAATTATTTTTTAATCCAACAGTAATGGAATGTGAATTTTTTTTAAATAAAAATTTTATTATGAAATTTAAATTATATAAATTTTGTGAAACGTTCTATCAATGTAAATTATATAAAGAATTAATTAAAAATGATATGATGATGGAATGGGCAAAGCACTGGTGGCCATTGTTTAGGATTCCAAGTCAACAATGATAGCATATTCGGTTGAGTTGAGACACCATCATATATGTAAACTGTTATAATGAGAACGATTACAGCTAAATAAAATAAACAAGAAAAGAAGAACGTCCATTTTTGCTTTTCCTTTCTCTTCTTTTTGTTTTCTTTTTCTGTAAAAGCAAACAACTCCATTAACCTTACAATTAGTTTTTGTTAACTTATTACAATTACTAGAATTTTTGTTTTATTAAAAAGTAATCATTCTTGTTAGGTGGACCACAACCTCTAAATATATAGTACACTGGCAATTCAAATGACACAGTCAAAGGAGAGAGAGAAAAGAGAGACTTACCAAAACAATAATAATCACAAAGGAAAAGAAAACCCAACTTTATGGCTTTAGTTGGCAGAAATCTTTTTCCACCAGGTTTCTGTCCCCCACATGTAATAAGCACATCACACTCATGACTTTAATCCCAATCTTCCTTTCTTGCATTGTTTCTTTTTCTTTTTTTTTTCTGTCATTTATTTGGAATTTATTTGCAAATCTAGGTTATGTTTGATATAAATAAAAATTAATTTTTTATCTTCAATTCAATAGTTAGTTATATTTAAATGAAATTGATAAATTTACAAATAACTAATAAATTTGAAGTACAAAATCTTTTAAGGAAAAAAAACTATATAATTGTGAGATGTACAAGCAAACTTTTATATTAAGAATCTAGTTGTTTTGGTAGCTATTAGTTGTTTAGTAGCATGCAGTTATTAGTTATTTGAGTAATTTTTCATAAAATGCTAAAAGTTAAACGTTATATGGGTTAATTTTTTATAAAATGCTATTTTAACCTCTAATAGTTAGTTCAAATGATGAACACACTAAAAAAAAAATGTTGTAGTGTTTTGACTAGTAAAAAAACTAAAAGTTATTTAAAAACTTATTGTGGAATAGTTGTTTCGGAACACTGCCTAAGAAAAATAAATTTAAAAGAAAAAGATGAATGATTCATTATAAACATTGGTTATTAGGTCTTTTGGTCCACAAATCTGACATATAACCCAACACAAATCATATGATAAGAATAACAAATTATATGATTTATGATTAAAAAAGAAATTATAAAATCCACACAATTGTACATATATAACAGTTAAATAAACATTGCATTATTATAAAAAAAAAATAATGCATTAAACTATAGGGGCAGTTTAATGTAATTATGCTATATACAATATTAAGCTAATGTGAATCCATGTGTGCATGTGTATACATATGTCTATATGGATTTTTGTCTACATACTTATTTTAAATAATTATTTAAAATTGACATTATATATATATATATATATTTATATTTATATATTTGACCCTAGTTATTATTTTGACTTGTCTTTTTGGTAAATACATTAAAAAGAAGTTCTTATTTTATTAGCCGGTTAAAGGATTTAATCTTCCATATATAAGAAAGTGTCATTTTTACCATCAATCTTTGATTTTTTTTTTTTTTTAAAAAAGAAAAAAAAAAACCTCTCCATCATCATCATCTTCATCCTTTTCTACTGTTACTACTTCTGCCATTAAAAACCTCTGTCAAATAAACAAGCAAAAGAAAAAAGGAATTATTGATGGTGATGTTAAGCTATAATCATTTTCACTGTTAATTGCAAACAAGGGAAAGAAAAAAGTCATGCGAGTACAAATAGATCAAAAGTTAAAGTTGTTATCAGTGTGTGAACATAATATATACATATATTTGAACATTTGCGTTCAGGGCGAGCACAACAGCAACGGAAAAGGAAGCCAGGAGAAGAGGATATCATCAACATAAGTTTATTTGAGAGAAACAAAACAGAAATTATTCCAGAAAGGAGTGATGAGAAGTTAGCTTCTTCGCCTCCATGGAAGAGTAGTAAGGCCATGGTAGATAGTGTAAATGAAGTTTGTAGGGACATTGCTTGGGGCCAGAGAAGAGAAATTGGGAGAATAGGTTTGGCTTTGCAAGATTATATATTCAGAGACATTATTGAAGAGACTGTCAGAGAAATGGGATGTTATTTCTTTTATCCATCACCAATATTACCACTTGAATCCTGTAAGAGAAGACTGCGTTTCTAATTTCCTTCGCTACTGTTTCTTTTTTCCTTTTCTGAGTTTTCTTTCATGTACTACTAGGAAGTTGTGATATTGTTATTGGTTCTTCTCCCCTTAAAAAATGGTCTATTTTTTATTTTTCATATGGTTCCTGTAGTTGCCTTTGCTTTTTTTTTATTTTTTTATTTTTTATTTATTTTTATAGAAAGGGACGCGTAGGTGGTTGCAATTTAAATGTGGGTCCAGGAATACATAATTTAACCCCCATGTTTTGATAAAAAAAAACCTGGTGCCTAAAGTTTAAGACCACAAACATTCTTACACTAAAAACAATAAATATTTTAGGTTTTTTACTTTTTTTTATATAAAATATTGATTTGATATTTGGTTAATATAACTTTTAAAATGATAATTTTTATATTTTTTAATTATTCAGTAAGTGTTTTGATCTAATTTTATAAGTTGCGATGTCAAATGAATGAAAAAAAGTGTTTAATATATATAATTTTATAAATTAAAGTTTTCAATGCATCAAAAAGTTGAATCATCATGGTTGAATTTATATATTAAGCCAACAGAGTAAAACATCGAAAATGCAGAACCATTCGCTTTGATTTTTAAGAATTTTGATTTGATTTTTTATTTTAATAAATTCTTTTTTTGACTGATTTTATATAAAATCGAAAAACCTGAAAATATTAAGAACTAAACTAATTTAATTCAAAAATTGAATTAAATTAAACCAAATCGAATTAATTCGAATATAGGAATAATTCCATTTAGATTGATTTTCCTTCACGAAAACTTAGTTTGTTCAATTTGTATTATTTCAATTCTATTGAAACTGAACCAATAAATTAAATATTCACAGCTAATTTAGATTAAAAAAATGACCTAATTGAGGTAGTGACTCGATGTCTTTTCTTTTCTTTTTTTTCTTCCTCTAATTTTTTGTGAGAAGAAATTAAAATTGAAAATTTCAATAAGAGGAAATCATGTATATATATGGGATACAAATCAATAGGTTTTTATATTTTTATGTAGAAAGTTTAATAATACATCAGTTATATAAAGAATAAAAAAATGCAAACTTGATTCAAAATATCTAATTGAGATGATAGAGCATAATACATGTAGGCATGACAGAGTATCTGGTCCAATTTCGGTTCAGGTCGAATCTGACGCAATTCTGATCATAGTTTTTGGTGATGTCTATTATTTTTTTTTTCAAAAAAAAAATTTTGGTTCCAAGAGTAAATCTTTATTTCAAAAAAAAATTGATATAAGTTTAAAAGATATTGATAAATTTTATTTTAAATAGCTTTTAAAATGACTCATACTCATATAAGAAATAAAATTAATTAATTTTATAAAATAATTAAAGTTTATTTTAAATAGCTTTTAAAAGACTCGATACTTCATATAAGAAATTAAATTAAATTAATTTTATAAAATAATTAAATAAATTATCAGTTATTTTTTCTAAAAATATTATAATAAATAAATTGTTAAAAAAAATGTTAAAAATGCTTCAAACAATGTAATTGTTGAAACTAAGTAGAAAAATTTTAAATGAAAAAAAATAATGATTAAACTCCTATTTCTTATCAAATAATATAATTATTCAAATAATATAATTTTAGACTAAATATTTTAATTTCTTTTACCATTTTATTTTTTAAAATTTTTAACTTTTTAAGTAAAATTTATTTTTCAAAAAAAAAAAAAAAAAACTCTTAAGTGTATCATGTAGTAAAAATTTGGAGACCTATAGAATAGGCTAGATGATTATAATTTTGAAAGTAAAAATAGAATTTTTAGGTCAAACCAGATCGGAACCGTCTGTTAACCGCGGGTTTAGGGTGAATTCAGATTCAGATTTTAACATTCATATGAAACTTAATCGGCCTTGAACTAACGGTTAATGTCCGTTTTGGTTCATTTATAGTACGCTTCGATTTAGGTTCTGTCACGACCCAAAACTATGGGCTGGACCGGCACTAGAACCTAGATAAGTTTAAGGCCTCCGAGGCCTGTAGTAAGCCTAACAAAAAAAATTCAATTTTATCAATGTAAATTCTAAGTATTAAGCCCATATTGTTATGCGAAAATAAACCTCATATTCATATTATAATTCGGCCCCCAAATTATAACATCTTCAACATTTACAAATTAGCCCAACTTACAATATACCATATTTATAATATGGGCTCACAGAATTATTCCATTTATATTAATACACGACTAAAGGTATACAAATCCTACAACTGCGGAGTTCACTAACAGATATATATAGATAAGTTTCCATACATTTATCTATTTAATGAATTAATATTAAAATTAGAGAATTCTTTTCTAACAGTGAAAGAAGCAAAGCTTTAGCTGGGATTCAGGAAAAAGCTACTTCCTGAAAGATTAAACAAAAGAGATGTGAGTTTATTAATGAATAATAATTATTGCACGACACGTGCATTCACACGAATGTGTAAATAATTAAATCTAGTCATCCGACTAGTTATATGATCACGCGGGCAGTCCCACAAATGGCACAACAACAGCACTCGTAATTATTAATATCTTCACATAATCACATCACGTGGAAATTAGTCAGTAGCGTCACCGAAACTCCCAATGAGCTGTCCTCCCATATGGCCCATCCTCTCATAACGTGTGCATCACTCCGAAAAACTCCCAATTGAGCTGTCCTCCCTATATGGCCGCGAGTGCGTCGTCTAACATAACGTGCTTGTATGCTCCCTCAGGCGTAGCCGATTGTCCTACATTACATGGTAATCGACACCTGAGTCTAAATCCTCACTTGACAGCACCTCTCATTAATTTTCTCCATTCTCTCTAATTGTGATTTCATACAAACTCAGTGAGGCCACCATGTGGTGTTATCTAAAATCTCATATCATTCAGTCGATGCACACGGGGACTCCCGATCTCCTCAATTAATATATGGTTGAAGTACCATGACCTTTTAATGAATTAGGAGATTTTTTTTTTAGGATAATAAATATCGTTAGACTAGCTTCTCACTAATAATCTCATGATGAGCGCACATTTTCAGCCCGAGACATCCACCACATACAAATGGCATTGTTGTGAGTTCACTCAACACAATTTAATTCACATATTGCAAATATAAATGCATATGAGCATAGCAATAATAATAAATTAAATTATACATGATGCAGGAAACACAAGAGACAATTCATAGTGTATTTATATGTAAATAGAGAATATTGAGTTTAATCAACAAATATTATAATTAATTGATCCACCGAAATAAATAAATAATTAAATAACTAAATAATTAATAATTAATAATATTATTATTAATTATTATTAACAATATAATTAGAAAAACTTTATATTTATATGTATTAAGTTAAAGAATTAATCTAATTAAAATCAACTAATTTTAATATGATTAAGACTAACCTAGGTCTCTATCGAAATTTCGACAGAATCTCCCTAGGAATTTGATCCAACCATAATTCAATAAACAACATCTCAAAGTCCATCCATTGGACAAATCACATCAAACTCATCTCATCCCGCCATAACACTATAATCATTCATCTAATCATTTACTCAAACTTACACAGCCATCAGTCGGGCACTCAATTAACTCAAAATCCAATCTCTCCTCCAATCACTTGTGCCCAACTGTGATATAATTACCCAATCATTACTCGATTAAGC